AACACAAGTCTCTTGCCAACAAGAATAAAGATTTTTTTCAAGCATTTGAAGGAGCAAAATGAAAAACAAGTGGAAATGATGAAAGACTGTGTAATGGTGTCTGATAAAGCGCTGGAAGCAAGCTACTTGTTTGCTAAGCTTGTTGCGAAGACAAAAAAGCCGTATAAAATGGCAGACTTTAATTTTACCAGCATGTAAAGAGATTGTGAGTTAGGCTCAGATGCAGTCCATGAAATCACAAAGGTTCCCCTTTCAGACAATACGCTAAGTTGTCGCATTGATGATATGTCTGCTGATATTGAAACTGTTATTTGAGAAAGAATAAAATCAAGAGGAAAATGTGCTTTGCAGCATAACGAGTCAACAGCCATCAGTGGTCAAGGCTCAGCTCTTGGCTAATGTCAGGTATATTGATGGAGATGGTAAAAAGAACATTATTTATTTTGAAAACAGTTACTAGGTAACATGACTGGAGTGGAAATATTCAGTGACAAAGGCCTATTTTGAGGAGGGAGAACTGGAATAGAAAATCTGCCTGAATGTCTGCACAGATGGGGTGGCCTCTATGACAGGGAAAGTGAAAGGGTTTTTAAACAAGGTCAATTAAATTTCAATTTCAATTTATTAAGGATTTTGGCTAAATGCCATGCTCCCAAAAATGACACAACACACATATGACCATCATACAAATATTATACTAAAAATAGAGCCCATCAACATAAAAACATTATTAATATAAATATAATAGTAAATCAAGACATGAATCTATAATATTGTTGTACATAGATCCACAATTGAGACAATAAAATCAAATCTAATGTTAAAATGTATCACTCATATCAGTAATAAAGGATATTTAACTCTAATCGCCTCAGCCTTATAAGCAAAAATTGCAAAATGGTTTACTAACTTTGGATCTGTTTGCTGTAAAAGCCAGATTAATTTCTCTGTTTGAAAAATGTATCAATTTCTGCAAGAACGGTAATAAACAGGGTCTCCTTATGTCATTATATAAAGAACATTCTAAAACATAGTGGATAGTATCTTCCAAAACTCCTAGACAGACTTGGCAACATCTTTTATCCCTTGGAATGGAAAATCTACATCCAGTCACAACAGCTGTGGGCATCTGTTTGGTCCTGAGTCTAGTCAAAGAGGATTGCCATTTATTATTGAGATCCAACTGTAAATACCTTTCTCCCCCTCAATCTAATTTCCAAACAGTATGTTAGGGTGACAGTATTTGGATCTTGGGGAGCATTGAATTTGCAGCTGAACAGAAGGCTATAACCTGTGGTCTAGCAAGCTGCTAACCACAAGGCAGAATGGCATGTTAAAAGAAACCTTGCAAGATGCTTAGGCAAGCATTTTCCTAACAATATAGTAGTGTTGTAAGATATATAGCTCACTGTATAAGAAAAACAGGATGCAGCCCACTGGCTATCATGAGGAGATAAAGCAGAAGCAAGACCTTAGAGATGGTGAAGAAATCAGCAAGAAACCACAAATGACCAAAGGAAGCCGGGGTCAGGGTCCTAAGCATGTACTCATAGCAAAAAGATATGTAAATAAGTAAAATGCATAGGCAATTCCATGCTAATGAAATAGATAGTAAACAGAGGCGGAGCTTAAGATAAGGAATATGTGTGGGACAAAGGTGGAGTAAATGTTAATGAGTATGAACCAAAGTGTATAAATATGGAAAGAACTAATGTTTGGGGCAGCTCCCCGGTTTGTTGGAACTGGCCTGAAGCTGTCTCCATTTTGAATAAAGCTGTTGACGCGCAATGTGTGCAGGTGATGTGTGATGGCATCGATCTGTTGTCTCCCTAGTTGTTGTGCGACACGTGGAGTCGAGGTCTAACACAGTATATAAAGGGGCAATATGAGTAGCCCTAGCCACTGCAAAATCATTCTGCCTGGCAATATCTTGTATCCTCTGAAAAACCCGAACCTTTTCTATGGGGGAGAAAAATCTTTCATTATCTTTGAGATAGTATCCCACTCCAGAAAGTACAAAAGTACAGGAAAAAAAGCTAACCATGGTGACTGGAGAGGAGGGGGATTATTAATACCTTCTATGTAGCTTAATTTAAGTAGACAAGATGGTAAAAGGGGCAGGATTTTAAATCAAAATCCTGCCATTCTCATAATAATATTAGTTAATATAGAATCCATTCCTGTCTCTTACCTCAAAAAAGATGCAGGCGTTGAGGAAAGGGAGAGCCAGAAGAGCTCTAAGAAACTTGTTCTGAGGTATGTCTACATCATTACTAGTGGCATAAACCCATACTTCTGCGCCATGTAAGATCTGAGAGGTAACTTTGGCTTTATATGCTGATAAAGGAGCTTGGACTGATTGTCCTGCTGTGGTTTCATAAAATTTCTTTATAGCCACAGTCAGTTGGGCTGCCTTAGTTTTAACTGACTGCATATGATGGTTCCATGATGGAGAAGCTGCGAATAACACCCAAATATCTATAGGTTTGGACAACTTCGAGTTTCGTTCCCCCCATATTTCATGGATATTTCATCAAACGACTTCCCCAATACATTATTTATCATAATTTATCTTTAAGTTATTTTGTCCACAAAGATGCTCAAAAGTTGTAATTGCTTTCTGTAATCCAATAGTTGTTCTTGATAGTATAATAGTGTCATCTCTGTACATTAAAATAGGGATCGGGGTTGCTAATAGTTTTGGGTAAACACAGTCAAGCAAAAATACCCTGATATGCTGGTGACCCACTGTTTCCTGGACCGGGAAGTCCTTGTGGCCAAAATATTGCTGAAAGAACTCTCCTCAGTGCTGGATGGAGCAAAAAAAATAGTGAACGTAATAAAAGTACAGCCCCTGAGAAGTTGCCTTTTCTCATTGTTATGTGAGGATATGGGAGCAGAACATCAGAGTTGCTTTTGCATATAGAAATGTACTGTCTTTCCTGTAGAAAAGTTCTGCCATGTTTGTATGAGCTGAGAGAGGAATTAAAAAACTTTTTAACTTCAGAGCAATCTGCATGCTGATGTAGCGTTGTGTGCAAAGCTTGCTTACCTGTGTGATTTACTCCAATACCTCAATGATCTGAACAGGAAAATGCAAGAAAGAAATGAAAACTTTCTCTCCAGCACTGATAAACTGCACAGGTTTAGATATAAACTAGCTCTCTAGCATGAAAATGTAGCAAAGGGCAAATTAGAAATGTTACCCCTGGCAAACATGGCAGATCCAACTAGTAGTGTTTTGGACAATCTAATTTCTCAGCATTTGAAAAATCCTGAAGAGAAATTTAGTTTTTATTTCCATTCAGTTTGTACTGAAAATTTTGAATGGATCTGTGATTCTTGGAGTTCATCTGCAATGGAAAGTGCTAAGACTATTTCAATTATGGCTCAAGATCAATTTATCAAATTAAGGATGGATCACAAGTTTAAAATTAAATTTGGTGACATGCTGTTGGACTTATTCTGTTGCAAACAAATATCCAGTACTCTCAGAACATGTGATCTCAGTTTTCTTGCTGTTTTTGACAACATACCTGTGCAAGTTAAATTTTTCAAGCCTGACTTGCATCAAAAACAAACAAAGAGAGCATCTGAGATCCATGGAGCAAGAGCTCCAAGTTGCACTGTCACCTGTTCCTGCCAGGATAAAGTGACTCTGCACATCAAGACAAGCCCAGTTTTCACACCGAAAATAAGCAGGGGGGGGGAGGGAGGAGGAGGGAAGGCTGTGCCTCAGAAAATTTTTATTAATATGTGTGCCTTGGGCTGGAAAAGGTCGGGAAACACTGCGTTACACTACCAAGATGGGATAAAGGGAAGTTCAGCCCCTGATGCTTTACAAGCCTCCTCCAGATCCTAACATGACAAGGAAATCTCTCAGTTTGTACATTTGTTACCCCTGCTATTCTAGAGATGCATCCCTGGCTGATTCCAAATGATGGGAGCTCTCTGTGCAACAAACTTGAGGAGGCATTTCCTTCGAGCCTAGTTCTGGAGCAGCCCTTGGAAGACAACTTTGACGTGGTGAATCTGTGCCAACTGATACAGTGTTGGAAAAGATGATGGGCACTAGGAGGAGGCAGTGCTGGGGGAATGATGCCAGCCTGATGACTCAATGCCAGGGTCTGAGGACAACCTAAGGGACTTGTGCAGTCTTATCTCGTGCCCCTTCCTTCTCCAGGGCTTGAACAACTGGCAAATGCCCTACTCATCATGCACACGAGACTCCCCAAGGCAATACAAACACCTTGTATGGAACTGAGGCAGGAATTAGTCTCTAATAAGAGCAGGAGCTGCAAAAACTGGGTGAGTTGAAAGAAGACATCAGAAGATGACTGAGAAATGAGATCTTCCACCAGACTGCTGAGACAGAGTGTGACAAAAAGAAAGCAAAAAAGGCCAAGACGGATAATCTGCTTCAAACAGCAGGCTGTAAAAAGTTGGTACTATATGGTGTTGCTACAAAAGAAAATAGAGAAAGGGAGCACTGTGAGCGCAAGGCCCCTTGAAACAATCTGGATAAGAAACCCCCAAAACTCAGGGTTTGGGTGGAAAAAAAAGGGAGAGGATAGGGAATATAATGAAGAGAAGCCAAAAAGCAACAAAAAAGCAAAAGCAATGGTCTGGCAATAGCTAGTCTGGCAATAGCTAGTCAACAAAATGTTGCTCCAACTCAGCCAGACTGCTGACCTGAAGAGGGGTGCTCTGTTTGTCATCCCTTTGGTACAGGGACAGGGAAGGGAGGGCCTGAGCAGCAAAGTATACTAAAGTAAATAAATCTCTAGTCAAAAGGCTCATGGGCTGAGAATATGCACATGTAAAAATGTGTGTAGGCAAATACTCAAAGGACAACTAGAAATTTAATCTTCCAAAGGCCCCAAACCAGCAATATTTGGTTGGAGGCCACCCCTCCCTCCCCCAGTAATGCACAAACCTGACTGCCAAAAGGAATGGGGGGGGAGGGGAAGCTTGTATTTTGCTAGTTACTCATGTCCTACCTTGCAAACATGCGGAGATCCTCTGGGTTCTGGGCAGCAGAGACATTAAGAATAGCTTCCCGCTCATGTTCTGACAAGCTTGCTAGCAGGTTCTCAGTCATCCGTTTATTTAATGGCGAATCCCCACCAGGTATCAGCTCAGCACTGGAATTATCCATGCTAGGGCTCGTGAGTGTCATATCATCACTACTGGCTATAAGAGGGAGAGTAAGAAGATAAAGAATCCATATCCCACTTAACAGGGTGATACAAAGAGAACAAACTTAGCAAACAGTGTTTTTGGTGTTCTGGGAATACTGCTGGATATAGATAGGTGAACAGAGCACAAGTAGTGAAAACTTTGGGATTTCAGCATCGTATGTTAGATTTAATAAGAATGCCTTCCCAGGAGTTACCTTGAATCATACCCTTAAGATGGGCTATGGGAAACTGGCAATTATAAACTTTTCCAAGCAAGCCATACAAATCTGCAGGTATGGACACATGTTCATCTGAAGCACTTCCAATCCCACTCCAATTTGAAGTGCTTTGACATCAAGCAAATGTAAAAGCTCTGTACTACCAAAGCCCTTCAAAATGACCCTGGAAGCCAGGCCATGGTCCAACTCTGCAGTTAGGAGGTGAAGAGCAGAAAACACTACGCCTTCAGGCTCCAGAGACAAACCAGAGAGCAGAGGAGAGTGCTGATTGTCTGCCTGTCCCAGCACAGTGCTAATTCACACCCCTCCTCCCATTGGCTTGGAGTCTATTGTCACTGTGGATCGAATCAGTTTCACTTTGGGAGGGCTAAACAGTTTCGCTACCACCCTGGGGAGCCAAAAACAGGCCACTACTGTCTGTTAGCCTTGAATCCCTGCTCCAGCAGTATCAGGAGGTTCTGTCACTCCTGTCCTACTCAAAGCACAATCCAGGCCCACCTGAGCATTTCTATATTCTATTAAAGTTAATTTTCTTTAGAAGGACAAGCCATCATGACCAAGGCCCTAAAAGGGCACCTCCTTGAGATGTGCTACCTGCTTTGCATTACAACACCCACATGCCCAACAAGGGCAGCATCATATAGCTGAAAGGCAATCTTCTGTGGGATCACCTGAAAACACTACACCAGTGCTTCTGGTGCAGGAAAATGAGCAGTAACAGGTGGGAATGGATAATTCTGGGGATGCGGGATGATAAGCAGTGGCAACAGACTTTTCAGATGAGTTAGGTCACTTTCATGAAGATCTGTGCTGAGCTGGCCCCATTGCTCCAGTAACAAGGTATCCCTTGCCATGACCACTGCCATCTGGAAGTTGGCAATCCCCAATCTCTAGTTTATGGCAAACCACTTTGGCATGGACAAATCCATAATAAGCTCAGCCATATGGGAGGTGGACCGTGCTATCTAGAAGGTGCTGGTAGTGCAATCCCTCCACCTCACCAATTCCCAGAAGGTCATTGCTGCATTTGTTTACATGGGCTTTCTGAACTTCATTGGAGATATTGATGCACTTGCATTGCCATCCTGTGCCCTGTCCACCACAGTTCAGAGCATATCAACCACAAGGGCTTCTTCTCCATTGTGCTTCAGTGCACTGTAAACCACTGAGGATGGTTTACACCCCTCACCGCCAGCTGGTAAAGAATGATCCACAATGCCTGAGGTTTTAGAAAATCCAGCCTGGTGATGACTCAGGGTGGGGATGGAGTGGAGAGGCTGACTGTAGAACTACCAACATTGAGTTGAAGGGAATGACTGCTCCTATCCTCCTAATTGGGGCTGATATACCCGCTCCTCCCGTGATTCATGGAGCCTGACACAGGGCCCTTGGATACCAAGAAAGAACTGTTCAATTACCAGCTAATCAGCTGCCACATAACCTCTGAGTGCACCTCTGAGCATCTGTAGGTCACTGGGAGTACACCCGCATGCCACTGAATGCTACCTACCCCAGATGGTTCTCAGCCTGCATCCTTCACAACATCTGTGAGGGCAAGGGGAAGTTTTTTTTTTTAGAGGCCTAGACAGAGGAAGCTTGGCATGCTAGAGGCAGCTATACAACACCACAAGCCAAGCCTCTGTCTCACAACTACCACTGCTGTTACAAAAGTCCTGGAAAATCACTTTCAGAGATGCCCGGACGCAAAGTGAGAGTGGGGCATGACTGAGCGAGGGGTGGACAAAGCATGGGGCACAATGTTATCTCTTTTGTACCAAAAAACCCTTTTATTAAACAGTACACACAGTCAAAACCCTATATTTTTTTCTTAAGAGAACTCATAAATAAATAATTAATGAACTGGGGTGTGCATAAGAACTGGCAGTGCTGTGTCACTGGGGGTTTGCAAATGGGAAGTGATGGCATGTATCAATGACACCCATAAGAACTGGAGTCTGTTCAAAAGGTTCCCAAGAGGGATTTGGGTGGCATGTCCTTGGTGTGGACCAGGATGGGAGCAAGCCTCCCCACTGGCCCACTGGGTTGAATGGGCTTGAGTCCCAGGATGCAAACCCTTCCTTGGATGTTGACTGACTGAGAATCTATGAAGTGGAGGGGAGCTGCTCCAAACCTTATTACCCCAACTCCTCAATGAAAGTGAAGTTCTGAAAGTTTGGCTGAAGTAGGGGTAAGGGATGCAGATCTTGGAGCCAGAGAAGGGGGGCAAAGTGGGAGCATAGAACAGCCACAAAAAGGCAGGTCTGGCTTGTGGTTGGGACTGTGCCTAAACCTGCTGACTGCTGCCCTGGTCTCAGACCTGTTACAAGGGCGGGGGAAATCTCTGAGCATAGAAGCTAAGAGGGTGTAAGGCAGAATCGGGGGTGGGAGGCACACAACCAGCAGACCATGGGACCTACAGTCTCTGATTCTCTACCCTGTCTGGGCTGCTAGCTTCCAGAGAACTCAAGTAATGATCTTAGCAAGCTATCCATCTTTGCTGAAGCTGTGACTCTGCACGTTTCCCAAGGCAGAAAGCTGACCTGGCATCAACATCACCTATTAATAAAGTGTCAAATTTGAATTCGGCCCGAATCAGGGACAGAGATTCAATTTGTTGATTCAGATCAGTTCCCGATTCGATTCAGCCGAATCCGAAGATTCAATGCTGATTCGGAGAATCAACGATTCAGACATAGACACAGCTTTAAAAGTTTTTTCTATATACCTTGAGATAGCAGGTGCAGCTCATGATTGCTGCATGCTGGGGTTCATGTAGCATCCCACAGGAGCGGAGGGTAGGCCTCCACATGCTTGGCCGCGAACCCAGAAGAGGACCGTAAGTACTTCCAGGTCTGCCAGGGAAAGTGCTGGGAGGCCCCCCTGCACTCCCCCAACTCAGCCATCAGCTGCAGGGGGACCCTGGGTGTCCCCCTCATGCCCAGGAGGCACCAGCAGTTGAGCCGGGGGGGGGCAGGGCTGCGCACTCCCCAGCAGACCCGGAAGTGGACTGGAAGTGATTCTGGTTGACTTCCAAGTCAGCTGCTGAGCACACTGGGGAGCCCCCCCGCGCTCCTGTGGGACACTCCACGTGCCCCAGCATCGCAGCATTCATGAGCCCCTGCTATCTAGAGGTACGTAGAAAAAACTTTTAAAGCTGTGTCTATGTCCGAATCTCTGAATCTTTCCAAATCTCTCCAAACTGATTCGGAGGGTTCCGATTCAATTCGGAGAGATTAAAGGGTCCTCTGATTCGATTCGGAGATTCAGCCACCGAATTGGGCCGAATCGCCACCAAACTGAATCAGGGACCAAAGCTTCGCACAGCCCTAGAGGAAACCATAACAAGGTGTGTCAACACCATCTCAAGTTGCAGCATTGTTGGTTGTAGCTGTGTTGGTCTAAGGCCTTAGCAGGCAAGGTTCTTTGGGTAGATGTGATAATTTTTATTAGACCAACAAAACAGTTGGAAAAAAGTCCTTTGCATGCTCTCAGGCACAAACACCCTTTCTTCAGGCAATGGGAGACTGCTGATATCATGAGTTTTCCAAGGTAGAAAAGAAGCTAAAGTAACAAAGAAGTCTGTGAAGATGCAAATGAGTAGAAGTTCGGAAGACAAAGGGCAGAGACATAGGGGGAGAGGGGAGAGGAAAGTGGATTTATGACACATTACAACCTGCCTGACATCTAACACACCAGGTAACCTGCCTATTAGCTGACCACATGCTTTCCTTCACACTTTTCCCTCCTCCCCCCCTATCTTTACTCTTTGTCTTCCAAACTTCTGCTCATTTGCCTCTTCACAGATGTTGATGCACCTTGTTATGGTCCCCTCCTCTGCTGAGAGTTATGCTGATGCCCTGGTGACTTCAGCCCCCTTCCTCCCCAGACATTATGGTATGAAGTTGTGATGATACCTCTGTAGCATGGGTGGGCACAATATGGCCCGCAGAGGGACTTTGTCTGGCTCGCGGTGGGTCCCTTGGTCTCACCTGGTGCAGGTGCTCTCTGGTCTGTGGTGCGTCACGCTGCTCCCTGTGCATGCAGCAGGGCTGGGGTGGCTCCACAGCTGGACTGCCTTTCTAGGCAGCCCAGGTGGTAGCAGCTCCTTCCAGCTGCCACTGTCGCTAGCTCTAGCCCCGTGGTACTGGCAGGGACCAGCGCGCAGTCCAGACCCCAGCCTGTCCCATGCCCTCTCTGGACTCGGTCTGGTAGAGCAGACTAGCTACAGACCAGCCAGAACTTGCGCACACAGCCTCAGCCCCAGCCTGCTCCAGACTCACGCACCCACATTGTGCAGTGGTAGCAGCCAGGCAGAAGTTGCTGCTCAGTGTGGGGGAAAAGCAGCCTCTCCCCTTTGCTGCTGCCAGGCCCTTCAGAAGCCTGCACCTGGGCTACCCTGCAGCTCCTCTATACTGTCACTGCTGCCCTGCTGGGTGGCCTGGAAGTGGCAGCGATGGTGGTAGAGAGGAGCTGCAGGGGAGCCCAGGCATGGGCTCTGGGTGACTGCAGCAAGGCAGTGGTGAGGAGGGGGGAAAGCTTTTTCCGCCCCCGCACCAAGCAGCAGCTTCTGCCTGGCTGCTGCCACTGCCCTTGTTCAGCACAGGTTAGCGGTCTGGAGCAGGCATGGGGCGGGCTAGGGTTGGAGCTGTGTGTACAAGTTCCAGCTGGTCTGCTCCAACTGGGGTGAGTCCGGAGTGGGCATGGGGCGTGTCAGGGCTGGGGCTGTGTGCTGTTGGCAATGGAAGGGAGGAGCCACAGGGCTGTTGTGAGAGAGGAAGGGGAGGGTGCTGACTGCCCTGCAGTAGCTCCCCATAGCACTGCCTATGGGGCCTGCGGGACCAAATAATTGCCTGCCTCTGCTCTATAGCCTCCATGCTTGAAGTGCTTCAAACACTGCATCTGTCCATGCCGTATGCGGGGGGTGGTTTGAGACATCTAAATCCCACTGATAACAATTTTGGTTTGAAGCACCTCTTCTCACAAGTAATTTGTTAGCAAACTCTACCTTTGCTATTTCTGATAATGGAAATTCATGCAGATAAAAGCTTGTGCATATGGATGAGTGTGATGGTCACTGCTGGCCGTGGTATGGGAAGTAGGTCTTAGTGAAGTAACTTGAGAAGAGTGTACCAAAAGACATCTTGTCAGGATGAATGGAAAGGTGGGCTGGACTGGACTGACTGGAAAGGGCTGGAGGGGCTTTGCAAAAAGGAGGTATAGCTTTAATGGCCTTAAGGCCTTTTTTTCAACCAAAGGGTGACCATGATCAGCTAAGAGGCTGGTAAACATGACCTGACCTATCAAATTCTGCTGCAAGGACCTGATTATAAAATCACGTTAGCTAAGATGCACGTATTTTGACATACTACTAACACTTCTTTCAAGACATGGCAAACTGTAAACTTTAAAACAAACTACAGATATTTTTCACAATGGAGAAGGAGTTATGCTCATACTTGGGGAACCAAAGCTGAGGGCATTGGGAGTGCTCAGACTTCTGCCTCCAACTCTAGTGGTAAAGGGCATGTCTTCATCTTGGGCTCGGAAATCCTCCTCAATAGGGGACACCATCAGGCAGACATATGTATGCAGCTGAATAAGAAGCCGATGCTGAAGCATCCAGATCACCATCTGTATAAGCTGAGTCTGTAACACAGAGATAGAATTTCAAGCATACAAGAAGCAAAGGAAGGCAATGCACAAGGCATGTGAAGGCCTTAAGATCCTGCAGGGATAAGCACAGCAAAAATGTTTACACAGAGAGGCAGGTGGCTCTTCTCACCAGAAGGGGGCTACCCTACTGCCACCCCATGCTGGTGCTGCTGTGTACCCTGTGGCAAAGCTGCAGCCACCACCACTACATGCCCTGTGCCAGCACTGAAGTTGCCACTACAGCACAGGTCATGTGACAGTAGCCAGAGCTTCAGCAGCACGGGGCATAGAGCATGAGCTAGAGCCATCACTGCTGCCATACACCCTGTACCTGAGCTGGAGCCATTGCCACCACATATCATAGGTGCAGCCACATGGCTAGGAATGAAGCTGTTGTCACTGCAGCCACTATATGCCCCAGGTTGGAGCTGTTGCCACTGCATGCTGAAACCACACTGTGCTCCGGGTAGGATCTGGCCCTCAAGGAACCCTACAATCCAGATCCAGCCCAGGGAACAAGGTGACTTTAACACCTCTGTCTGACCACTGATTCTCTATAAGGGGGCTGCAGGGTTAGGTGTGCAATTTCCTGCATGTGATTCACAAGATAAACACAGGTTTATTACAATAACCAAGAAAAATTATAAAATTCAGCTCCTCTGTGAAAAAAATTGAGTTTATTTCCTACCTATGGGGACTTTTTACCATCTTGTACCATCTATACTTTTCCCAGAGCCTGACAAAGGGACTTTGATCCTGAAACCTTGCAGAAAAGGACAATTTTCTTGTGATTTCCCAGTTGGTCTAATAAAAGGTATCATTTTGGAGCCAAATATTGCAGGTTTATGACAAGCATCTTGAGTCCAATGAGAGTGCCTTGAGTCTCAAAAAATTGGGAACCACTGGGTTAGACAAACACTTGTCTAGAATGGTTAGATAGGAATGATTCTCCCTTGAGCAGATGACTTTTTGAGGTCCCTTTCAACAATATTTTTCTATGATGGCCCAGGAGGCCTATTACAGTCCTGTTTCCTTTAAAGAGACCAATTTATTTGTCAGTAGGCCAGAGGAAGTTCTCCACTTCTTAAAAAATGAGAGATCTGCAGTCTCTAAGACCTTATGCCTTGCAGAGGAATCAGCAGCAGAAGTAACAGTCTTACTACAGATGCAGACTTCAGCCCCAAACTGGTTTCAGTTATGAATGATGGACCCCTGGCAGACTTTTAAAGACTTTTAAATGTCTCAGTGCATGGGGACCCCTGCATTGGAGACCAGTTAGCTCCCTGGTGTCAGGCAGCCCACAAGCGCATTTAAATTCCTGTTGTACAAGGAGCCGGTGATCAGGGAACCACTTCTCGCTCCTGGGCTCTCTATATATTGGCAAGTTGAAAAGGTATAAGGCAGCTCAGCTTGAGGCAGCTCCTCCCTAGTGCCAGGTTGCTTGATCCCCATCAGATGCACAAAATGATGTGAGGAATTTTATCCCAGATCCCAAAAATCATGCAGTCTGACAGGCGGGATCTTGATTCTCTAGCACAGAAGGAAACAATTTGGGCTCTGGGATAAAATTTTTCAGATCCCATTACCTGGTTAAACTAACATCTGTCAGAGGCCTTGGAGACCCCCAGAGGAAGAAGGGGCACATCTGCATGAGACATTTACTGCAGTTGACTAATTAACTCTGCAGTAAACAGTTTGGCATCTACATGTGCAGCCCTATAACGTTGCAGGAAGCTAATAAACTTCACAGGACAGTATTTGTAAATACAAGTACTATCCTGCCACGGAGTTTTTTACTCTACAGCAGTGCACGGGCAGATGCTGACACAGCTGGCTGGGGCACAGGGGTGCTTCAGTGCAGGGGCTGCTTGCTGGCTAGTCCCACAGTAGAGCACCCTCGTGCCCCAGCCAGTCCCTCCACAGACGGGCTGGAGGAATCGCAGGCTGGCAGGCTGACCCCTCCCCCACCCCCAGATCCCTTGCCAGCTGGGGCTGCTCCGACCCAGCTCAATCTGCTGTGTGTGGTCTCAGGCACACATGTAAATGAGGCACCTAGGAACAATAAACTTCAACACAGTATGTGCCAGAGCTTATCGTGTTGCAGTTATATCCATGTGTAGACATGCTCAAGCAGTACAATAGACTTTTCACATAAACATGTTTAAATAGACTTTAAACATTCCCTCCACCTGGCTCAAAGAATGATTCTATGAATTTTTTAACCAGGAGGAACAATTAATATTGGGATGATATTGGCTCACCAATATTTAATCTCTTTTATAAAGAGATAATTTGTCCTGGTTTAAAGATAGGCTTTCATTCAACCAGAAGTTACAAATTTGATGCGAGGATTACTGAGTAAGAATTTATGGCCTGTACATTATGGCCTTAAAATCACTTAAAGAACATGTGAACTTTGACAGCACTCCCTCCTAAATCTGAGCTAATATTAAGACTTTAGCATGCCATGGAGTTCATGCCCTGGAGTTTGAACCTACAGAATCAGTGAAGTGTTCCAATAGCAAAGTTCAAGGTGCAGAAAAGGGACACTATAATGATCAGGGAAATGGTTAGCTGATCTTCTGAGAGGAGACATGAAAGAGCTTGTCTTGTTTAGCCTAGAAAATGAAGGATAAGAAAAGAGAGTGCTCTCTATAAATACAGTGGTGGAGAAGAAAAGGGAGGAACCAGACAGTGGGAAAACTACCTAAAGCTCAAAAAAAGTGTCAACACAAAAACAAATGTGCATTACACTGGCCTGTAATAGGACAGAAAGGCTTCCCTCACAAAGGAAAGAAGCTAAAAAGAGTCACTGAGCCAAACTCTCTTGCTGTACCTGCACCTAACAACAGAGAAACAGTTGCTGTGGGATAAGCAGCTCAGCAGTGGGGGTGACTTGACAAGGCTTTTGTGGGAGCTGGTTACTCTGGGTGTCATAGAATCATAGAAAATTAGGGTTGGAAGGGAACTCAGAAGGTCATCTAGTCCAACCCCCTGCTTAAAGCAGGACCATCCTAAGTATATTATCACAGCCAATGTTTCGTCTAGCCAGGTCTTAAAAACTGCCAAGGATAGAGATTCTACAACCTCTCTGGGTAACCTGTTCCAGTATTTTACTACCCTCCCAGCGAGAAAGTTTTTCCCAATATCTAACCTACACTTCCCTTGGTGCAACTTCAGAACATTGTTCCTTGTTTCGTCATCTGCCACCACTGAGAACAGTCTTGCTCCGCCCTCTTTGAAACCCCCTTCAGGTAGTTAAAGGCTGCTATTACATCTCCTCTCAGTCTTCTCTTCTCCAGACTAAATAAATCCAGTTCCCTCAGCCTCTCCTCACAAGTCATTTTCCCCAGCCCCCCAAACCATTTTAATTGCCCTCTGCTGGATTCTGTCCAATTTGTCCACATTCTTTCTATAGTGTGGGGCCCAAAACTGGACAGTCCTGAATAGAAGGGAATAATCACTTGTCTTGATCTGCTGGCAACAGTCCTACCAATGCAGCCCATTATGCCGTTAGCCTTCTCAGCAACAAGGGCATACTGTTGGGTCATATCCAGCTTATTGTCCACTGTAACCCCCAGGTCTTTTTCTGCAGACTGCTGCCTAGCCAGTCAGTCCCCAGCCTGTACTGATGCATGGGATTGTTCTAAGTACAGAAGTCTGTACTCATCCTTATTTAACCTCCTGAGATTTCTTTTGGTCCAATCCTACAATTTGTCTAGGTCTCTTTGAATCCTAACCCTATGCTGCAGTATATCTACTACTCCCTCCAGCTTGGTGTCATCTGCAAACTTGCTGAGGGTGTACTGCATCCCATCTTCCAGGTTGCTGATGAAGATACTGAACAAAACTGGTCCCAGGACCGACCTCTGGGGCACTCCACCCTCTGAACCCAAAGATCCAGCCAGTTTGCTATCCACCTTACAGTCCATTCATCCAACCTGTATTTCCTTAGCTTGCCTGAGAGAATGTTGTGGGAGACCATATCAAAAGCCTTGCTGAAGTCAAGGCATACGACATCCACTGGTCTCCCTACCACCAAAGAGCCAGTCATCTCATCATAGACACTAATCAGATTGGTCAGGTGTGACTTGCCCCTAGTGAATCCATGCTGACTATGCCTGATCACCTTCTTTTCCTTCAAGTGCTTAGAAATGGATTCATTGAGGACCTGTTCCATGACTTTTCCAGCTACTGAGGTGAGGCTTACTGGTCTCTAGTTCCTTGGATCCTACTTTTACCCTTTCTTAAATATGGGCACTATGTTTGCCCTTTTATCATCTGGGACCTCTCCTGATCACCATGAGTGCAAAAATGATGGTCAGTGGCTCTGCAATCATATCAGTCAACTGCCTTAGCACCTTTGGGTGCATCCCGTCCAGCTCCACGGATTTGTATATGTTCAGCTTTTTAAAACAATCCCTAACCTGTTCTTTTCTCCTGTTGGCTGCTCACCTCCTCCCCAAACTGTGCTGCTTGGTGCAGCAGTCTGGTAGCTGAGCTTGCCTGTGAAGCAAGAAAAAGACATTGAATACTTCAGCCTTTTCTGAATCCTCTGTCACAAGGTTGCCTCCCCCATTCAGTAAGTGACCTAAACTTTCCCTGATCCTACTCTTGTTTCTGACATACTTGCAGAAACCCTTCTGGCTACTCTTCACATCCCTTGCTAGCTGGAACTCCAATTGCACTTTGGCCTTCCTAACTTCATCCTTGCATGCCTGAGCAATACTTTTATTTTCCTCCCTAATTGTTTGTCCAAGTTTCCACTTCTTATTAGCTTCCTGTTTGTGATTTAGCTCACTGAAGAGCTCCCTGCTAAGCCAAGCTGGTCTTCTGCCATACTTGCTAGTCTTCCTGCACATCTGAATGGTTTGTTCCTGCACTCTCAGTAAGGTTTCTTTGAAGTACAGCCAGCTCTCCCTCTGACTGGCTTCCCAGGGAGTCCTGCCCACGAGTTCCCCGAGAGAGCCAAAGTCTGCTTTTCTGAAGTCCAG